TCGGGCCACCAACATCAGCACCACCATCGTCCTCAAGGACTTTGACAGTACGCGCACCCTTTCAGTTCTTCCATTTCCCTTTCTTTTCTTTTATTTTCTGCTTGTAGTAGAAGGTAATCTTTGATGATGTTGGTGGGGGATGCTGCAGGCCTCACGATCGCTCAGACAGTTGCGCAGTTCACGGTGAGCACGGTGCCGGCGCTGGCTTCGCTGGCGGGCCGGCCTGCTCGAGCCGACTGGGTGCTCGATGTCCAACAGCGAGCGGGCTCGATCGGGTCGGGTCACGTGCGCGACTGGTGGCTCGATTTCGCCTCCGACAACTGCCTCAACTTCGCAGGTACCCCCCATCCGCCATGAAGAGAAGATTCAAGTAAAACAAAACCATCTTCTCATGATGCGTTTTTGAAATTTTTTTTATTATAATTGTGCAGGGGCATCACACGCGATCTGCGGCTTCGGTCCAGGGCAGCTGTTCGCGCGCGGCGCCACCGACGACGACGACGTGCACCTGGAGTCGCCCCGCCGGCGGCATCATCACCGAGATCGTGTGGGCGCGCTACGGCCGCACTCGGAGGGCTCGTGCGAAGACGGCCCCACGACGCTCACGGTGCACGACGAGTGCGAGGCCCTGCCAGACATCGTCAAGAAGCGCGTGGCGAGCGCGTGCGTGGGCAAAACGAAGTGCACGGTCCACGCCATCGACACGCTCTATGCCGAGGAAGCGGGCGAGCCATTCCTGTGTCCCTACGGCGTGGAGCAGGTCGAGTGCCGCGAGGACCGGTCGCTGCTGGCCGAGCGGTCGAGCCGGCGGCAGGCGCGGCACGAGTCGCGCGAGCACCACGCGCAGGCGCACATGGCGCCGGTGACCTATGCCGGCACGGAGGACCACCACTTCAAGTCGACCATGGTGCGCCACCGCACGGAGCCCTTCTTCCGCCCGCGCCGCGACGTCAACAGCAGCAGCAACAATGGGAGCGATCCGAGCATGGGATGCAGCTCGGAGCCGCGGGTGAAGAAGGCACTCATGGTGCAGGCCCGGTGCAAAGGTGCGTGCGTGTCATCTTGCATTCTCACTGTAGGGGAGTACGCTGCTAGAAGACGACCAACACGTGTGTCGCGTGTCGTGTGTGTGTGTGTGTGGCGTATGTGTGGTATGTGGCGGCGGCAGATGCCAACGCGGCGTTCAAGCACACGGACACGCCGGCCATAGCCAAGAAGATGGTGATGGCAAGCGCGAGCGGCGACTTGGACAACGACTGGAAGGACGAGGTGGTGACGCTGTTCGGATACGAGGGCGGCGCGCTGCACGCCTCGTTCACGGCGGTGGGCGCCAACGGCCAGCCCACGACGACGGTGGTGCGCGACCTCGCAGTGGGCGGCGGGAGCGCGGTTGTGCTGGGCGAGGGCGCGCACATCGAGATGGCGACGGGCGACTTTGACAACGACGGCTACCCCGAGCTGGCCTTTGCCTTTGTCGACGGCGCCAGCGGCGGCGCGCTCAAGGTGTTCTTGTGGGATCTGCGCGTGCAGTCGACGGCGGTGTGGGGCAGCAGTGTGGCCAAGACGAGCCGGGAGGACCTGCAGCCGTGCTACGCGTGCTTCACGGACATCGCCAAGCTGCGGGGCCTGTTCGCCACGGCGGTCGAGGTGGCGGTGCCGGGGATGCCGTCATTCCCGATCGTGCTCACGGGCGCGGCGGCGACGGCGGCCGGTGTGGAGAGCGGGAGCCGGCTGGAGGCGGGCGGGTTCGGCTACTCGCTGGCGGCGGCCAAGGTCAACGCTCTGCCCTCCATGGTACGATCAACCTCCCGGTCGTCCGGCTCCTCTCTGCTCTCTGCTCTCTCCCCTCCTCTCCTCCTTTGCTCACCACACGCGACACTCGTGCGACCCAACACACGAGCGCAGCTGGCGGTGGCGTGGATCGCCGATCGGAGCGCGGTGTCGTGGGCGCTCTTCCGGCAGACGTCGCAGTCGTCGGCGGCCATGGTGTCGAGCTCGCCGTACTCGCTGGTCTCGCTGCGGCAGCCGCACGCCGTGGCGGTCAACCTGGGCGACTACGAGGGCTCGGGCTTTGCCGAGCTGGCGCTGGGCATCGTGGACGACGACGAGCTCACGCTCTACCTGTACAGCATCGACGAGCTCACGCCCGCCACGCTGCCCATGGCGCTCCAGAAGACGCTGCCCATCACCGCGGCGCCCTGGTGGCACACCGCCCAATACAAGTACTCCTCCTCCTCCTCCTCTGCTTTTGCTCCTTCTGCTGCTGCTGCTGCTGCTGCTGCTGCTGCTGCTGCTTGACTACCAGCCGCCACCATTTGCTGATGTCACACACTCGCCACACAACATTGGGCACACGGCACACACACACAGCGTGCGAATGGTGTCGGGCGACCTGAACAACGACGGCGACGACGAGCTCGTGGTGGCGTTGACCAGCGCGACGGAGGGCAGCGGCAGCCAAGCAGACGTGTTCCGCGTGGACAGCGCGACGTGCTTCCGGCTGGCGTGTCTGGAGCTGGTGGGCAGCTTTGCCTTCACCCTCCCGAGCGGTCCCACAGTCTCGGCCTCCACCTCCGCTGCTGTGGAGGGCATCGTGGCCGAAGCGACGACAGGGACGGTGGAGTACACCACAACAACCACGAGGAGCCCCGAGATCAAGCTCGCCATTGGTACGCTCTCTCTGCTCTCCGCTCTCTCTCTTCTCTGCGGTCCCACCCTTCGCTTGCGACAAGAGCCTGCGAGTGACACACCACCACCACGACCACCACCACCAACAATGATTTCAGGCAACGTGGACGAGAGCTACGCCAACGAGCTGCTCGTGGCGTTCGAGTACTCGCCCACGATAGACTCGGGGTCGCCCAAGGTCATGCTGACCAGCCTCACGGCGCAGCCCGACCCCGATCGGCCCTTTGTCATCAACGGTTCGTCAAGCACCTCGTGGTGTGTTTGTTATCCACAGCATTGCATAGCCAAATCGTGAAATACTTATACTAGCACACGCACACACACAAACACCATGCCTTACCAGGACGGCAGTGCTACGCGGGGCCGGCCTACCAGCGGGACGAAGAGGTGGCGGCCGCCACGGTGAACAACATGGCGCTGAGCGTGGGCAACCTGTACGGCCTGGGCTACCGCGTGGGCGAGTCGATCAAGGTGCGCTTCGAGAGCGTGCCGGAGCTCATCGCCGTCATCAACGCGCCGCCCACGCACTTTGACATTGTCGACGGCAAGGAGGTGGTGGTCAACCCGCGCACCTTCAACGGCTACGGCTCCTCCACGCGCCTCTCCGACGCCGAGGGCGTCACGTCGTCCTTCGAGATCTCGCGCGACCAAGTCCACATCACTTCGCACGCCAATGGCGTACGTCCCCCCAAAAACCTTTATTATTTTATTTTGCCTAACTGTAGGCCGGCGTCTGTGCGCCGTGTCCCATGTGCGCAATTCCAGGATGTAATGGATGTGCTGGTGGCAGTTGTGATGGCGAATATTCACACCCAGTCGGTGGAGATGAAGAAGCGGTCGGAGGCGCTGGGCCAGTCGACGGTGGAGCGCATCACGGTGTCGCGCGATCTGGTGGCGTCGGGCGACGACGTGGTGCTGTACATGTCGACCACGCGCGACCTGTGGAAGTTCCCCATCGTGGACCAGAACGGCGCGCAGGTCGGGTCGCTGGACATCTGGGCGTCGTCGAGCTGCGGCGAGGACTGCGTGCAGAAGGGCGACGGGCGCGACCTGTGGTGGTTCACGCCCGACCACGAGCCCTTCAACGTGCTCACCTATTCGTCGCGCGCGCCCGAGGACTTCAACCCGGTCGACCGCATCATGGTGGGCGAGAAGGTCACCCTCGGCCCCAACGAGCACCAGGTCCGCCCCCACAACAACAACAACAACAGCAACTCTCTCTTCTATTCCTCTTCCCCTTCATTCACCGCCGTTTTCTGATCCCTTCCCCCCCCCACCTCTCGCCCATTCGCCGCCCACCACAACCACAACCACAGCAATCTGTGAGTCAGCACTCGGGAAAGACGGAGAAAAAGGTCGCGCTCGACCATGCCACCACCGAGCTAGCGTTGTCCGCGCAGTATGGTATCGACGCTCAGCTGTCCACCTTTGTACGTACAAACAAACATCAACCCGCCGCCGCCGCTCAACTGGCAAATTGGTTGATTGGTTGATTGGTTGATTGCGATTTACGCTTTACCCACTGGCGTGTGGTCATCACCAGGCTTCGCTTGCCCCCCTGGGCGTAGGCACTACGCTGAAGGTGCCGCTCGGTTTCAAGTTTGTGAAAGCCTGGACGACCAGCCAGGACACGAAGGATGCCAGCGACGCCATCACCGTGCATGAGGCGGGAATCGAGCGCGACGTGTCGGTGGTGTGCTACGTGGAGCCCATCAACCCGGAGCACGCCTACCGCGTGCAGCCCTTCGTGTGGATGGCGCGCGCGCCGGACGGCCGCGAGTACCTCAAGGTGGACTACACGGCCGAGCCGGGCTACTACCCGGGCGTGTCCACGTGGTGGGAGCGCACCTACAGCAAGCCCGACCCGTCGTTCAACCTGCCCTGGTGGTGGACCACGTTCAAGCGCGACCGCACGATGCTGACCAAGGAGATGGTGGCCACGCCGGCGGTGCCGCGCGAGGAGGGCGACGTGGTCGAGGTGGCGGTGACGGTGCGCAACAAAGCGCTCGTGGACGCGCGCAACGTGAAAGTGGCGCTGTGGCGCGGGAGTCCCGACAACTGCCTCGACGAGGCGTGCCTGCTCGACGACAACGCCCTCAGTAACCTACCTTCTCTCGCAACTCTCACTGGCAGTGCGGGGTCTGACGCGCACAAACTGTTGTGTGTGTCGTGTGTCGTGTGTCGTGTGTCGTGTGTCGTGTGTCACGCAGTCGGAATCGAGGAGGTGGGGCTGATTCCGAGCCAGGGCAAGCGCGAGGTGTGGTTCCTGTTCCGCTTCGACGGCGTGCAGAACATCCACGCGACCATCGACGACAACGACGAGCTCGACGAGATGCACGAGGACAACAACCACGCCTACAGCCTCTTGTTCCACGACATGGCCAACAGCGGCTACACGCTGCAGACCCTGCGGCTCGACCCTGCCATCGCGGTGAGCCCCGTGGTGGCGAGCGATGGGAGCGGGTTGACGATCGGGTACCAGGTGAAGGCGACGGTGCTGGGCGACACGTTCACGCGGGCCAACGTGCTCGTGCAGCTGTGGCACGGCGGCGTGGGCGGCGCCGGCCGTCTCATCGGCACGGTGCTGGTGCCGCGCGTGAACGGCTCGACGACGACGACGACGCGCTACGAGGTGTCGGTGTTCTGGGCGACGCGCAATCCGGCGCTGTTCGGCAAGCAGGAGCTGCACGCGGTCATCCTGCACTCGGGCTTCTCGACGGAGGCGGCCAACGTGATCTCGCACGTGTCGCGCACGGTGAGCGTGGCGTGCTACGGGCGCGTGGACGCGTGCGGGGTGTGCGGGGGCAACAACGGGACGTGCGGGGGGTGCGACGGGGTGGCGCTGTCGGGCAAGACGGTGGACGTGTGCGGAGTGTGCGGCGGCACTGGATCGACGTGCTGCATTCCCAAGCCGGCGCAGGCCCAGTGGCACTACGTGCGCATCGACCACCACCACCACGACCAGCTTCACAACAACCATGACAACCTCAACGGTAGCGGCAACAGCACCAACGGGTCCAGCACCGCTGCTGCCAGCGACTCGTCGTCGTCGTCGTCGTGGTCATCGATAGTGACGCGGGCGCGCGTGGGCGACCTGGTGGTGTGGGAGAACCTGCTCGACTGGAAGGTTGATATCGTGAGCGGGGCCTACGACTACAAGCACGCGCCGGCGCTCGAGCTGTCGCGGATGACGACCCAGCAGGGCCACGCCCTCGAGCAGCAGCTGGGCAACCTGCCCGACGACGATGGCGCTCTCAACGCCTTCCTCAAGGTGCTCTCCTATGTCACACGACGTGCGGTGAGTATGAGGTTTGACCTGTCGTGTGTGTGCGTGTGTCGTGTGCGTGTGTGTGTGTGCGTGTGTGTGTGCAGGAGTACGTATCAACGATGTGGATCAAGGATCTCGTGGAGCAGTCGACGCCTCCAGGAGGCAGTCCTGCCGTTGCCCCGCCTGCGCCCGACTCCACGTCGGCCTATCTCCGTCGGTCCACCGCCGGCGACAGCGATGACCGACCGCAGCAGAACCAGGAGTCCGCCGACCTGTTCCCCGGCTGGTACGACACGACACGACCAACGACACGACACGGCCAACGACACCCACGACACGACCAACGACACCCACGACACGACACGATGTACAGGAGGACGACTAGGCCCTCGGGCAGTGCGTCGTTCGAAGTCCGAAAGCGCAGCCAACAGGCTGAGGAGGGGGCCGATGAGGAATTTGCGATGGGCGGCGTGTGTTGCGCCCAGGAGGCAATCGGCTACGACACCACGATGACGACGATGGTAGACGAAGAGCCGGCGCCGGCGTCGTTTGAGCACCTCCTTCACGATGTCACGCACAGCGCCAATCTGGCCGGGATGCGCTGGTCCAGCGCCAGCGACCGCTCGCGTCTGCGCGCTTCGGTGGTGGCGAAGCTCATAGCACACAAGCAGCGGCTCGATCACGTGGCAGGGCTCGTCAACTCAACTGGCGGCATGCCGCTCCTTCCGGAAGAAAACCAGATGCGCCAAGTCGCGGCCGCGAGGTACGAGGAGGAGGCGATCTCCTCACCCGATGTTCGCTGCCTCTGCCGCCGGACGTCGTCGTCGTCGTCGTCGTCGCGCTCGAGCGAGCAATGTTCCGCGGAGGACGCCTTCTTCCAGCGCTGCGTCAACCCGCTGACCCCGGACTCCGGGGTCGTCTTCCCGGGGCTCTTCAACTTCGCGCCCATCGTGACCAGGCCCGACGGGCCGTCGGCGGTGCTGCCGCCGGGCGCGGCGAGCGCTCCGCACCGGTTCTTCAGTCCGGGCCTCTACCTGTGGCACGACTCCCACAACCCGGCGATCCACGGCGTGGTGCTGGTGGCGCCGTCGGAGCTCGTGGCGGACGAGTGCGGCGTGTGCGGGGGCGACGGCACGTCGTGCCGCGACTGTCAGGGCACCCCGTTCGGCACGGCTCGGGTGGACGCGTGCGGTGTGTGCGTCGACCCGATGGCGCCGGGCTACGCGCCCAACCCGGCCATCGACTGCGCTGGCGTGTGCTACGGCGCCGCCATGCTGGACGCGTGTGGCGAGTGCGCGGGCGGCACCACCGGCCGAGCGCCCGGTGCGTCGATGGACTGCCTCGGTGTCTGTCACGGATCCGCCGTGGTCGACTGCAGGAACATATGCGGCGGCCCCTACCAGGTCGACTGCGCGGGCGTATGCGGCGGCTGGGCCGTGATGATTGATGGCGTTTGCTCCTCCTCGGGAAAACGTGGCCTGGTTCGTGTTGCCTCTCACTTCATCTTCCCTTTTCCTTTCTTTTCCTTTTGCTTTTTCTCTTTCTCATTTTCTTCTTCTGCTGTAACACGCGTGCTGCTGGCCACCTGTGACTGCAGGAGGAGGAGGAGGAGGAGGAGAAGAAAGCGGGCGGATGCGAGGACGGGGCCGTTGCGGACTGCAATGGGCGTGTGCAACGGGTCGGCGCGTTTCAATCCGTGCGGCGTGTGCGTGGTGGCGGCGGCCGACTACCACAAGGGCGAGGACTACTGGGTGGACTGCGCCGACACGTGCCGCGGCACGGCCTACATCGGCGACTGCGGCGTTTGCGTCGGCGGCCGCTCTGGTCTTTGGGTTCGTTGCCGCCCCCTTCCCCCTCCCGCGCGCCCAGCCCGTGGGGTGGTGGTCGTGGTGGTCGTGGTGGTCGTGGTGGTGGTCGTGGTGTACTATTTGTTAACAACAACAACAACGACAACGCAATGTATGGGTGGGTCGGGTGCATGACTGCAGCCGAACGAGCACAAGGACTGCCAGGGGACGTGCTTCGGCAACGCGACGCGCGACGAGTGCGGCGTGTGCTTCGTGGAGGGCGACGGCCACCACGTGGTCAATTCGGGCAAGGACTGCACGGGCGTGTGCGGCGGCAAGGCCGTGGTGGACGAGTGCGGCGAGTGCGTGCTGGGCACCACCGGGCGCGAGTTCAACAGCGCCAAGGACTGCGCGGGCCAGTGCTTCGGCGGGCGCCTCCCCACTGACCCGTACGCGCCCAATTCTAGAACATACTAGTTCGCCACCATGAATATACAAAATTAATAATCATATTCATATAAAACAATAACAATAACAATTATTTATTGGATTGGATTGGGGCGGCAGGGCGTGCGTGTGTGAGCGCGAGGAGCTGGACAAGTGCTTCGTGTGCGGCGGCGACAACTCCGCGTGCGCGGGCTGCGACGGCGTGCCCAACTCGGGCGCGGTGCACGACCTGTGCGGCGTGTGCGGCGGCGACAACTCGACGTGCTGCTTCCTGCCCTTCGCCCAGACCACCGTCCTCATCCGAGACTTCGATACCGTGGTCCTGCCCAACGCGCTCGACGCCGGCGAGACCCTGCTCGTCACCAACCAGCACCTTAACTACCGCTACACGTTCCGGCTCGTGAAGTTGACATCGGACAGCAAGGCCAAGGCGGTTGCTCGGTACCCGAAGCTGTTACCTGGTAACAGCCTCAGGGTTGGCGCCACGGAGCCGGGCGAGTACCTGCTCCAATCGGCCAAGCGTTCGGCCGTGTCGATCCAGTTCAGCGTGCGCTTCAACCGCAAGGCCCGCGACAGCTGCGGTCGCTGCGTCTACGCCGACGCCGAAACCGGGAACAGCAACCGCGCGGCGTACGACCGCTGCTGCGAGGTCATGGAGTCCAAGGACGACGTGCACGCGTGGTTCGAGACCACCCACTTCCACGATTCCGCGGCGGACCCGGCGGCGGTCACCCGCGTGGCGCCGCGCACCGGCGCCTACAGGAGCGCGCCGGCCAGACACCTGCTGCGCCTGGTGGAGTCGCAGGCTGTGGACGCGCGGACGTGGCGCGCCGCTGATCAGCGGCTGGCGGTGGGCGACGTGGTGGTGCTCGAGAACCGCGACCTGTTCGACCACGTGATCTCCATCACCGGGCCGCAGCCCATGCCCGACGTGGTGCTCGACCGCGGCATGGTGGCCCTGGTGGGGCCGGTGCTCACGCCGGGCACCTACCGCGTGGAGTCCAGGAGCAACCTCATCAACACCACCTTCACGGTCGAGTTTGACTTTGCCTGCACCGTGCACGTCACCCACGCCAAGGAGGTGCAGCCGCAGGGCGGGTACCGCACAGCGGTGCTGGGCGTCACCCTGGTGGGCATCTTCGCCCTTGCAGCACTCGTGGCTGGGGCAATGGTTGTGTTGTACCTGACAGCCCAGAGGTAGAATGACCACACCACCACCACCCACCACCCACCCACCAATATGTAACTCACTTTCCACGACCATACAGTTTCCTAAACATGTTTCGGTGTTTGTGCATTTGCTGTGTCTTCTGTACGCGGTGTTTGTGTTCCGGTGTGTCGCGACCGGGGGGCAAGGGCGCGGGGAACAGGCGTCGGAGCGGACGAAGAACCTACAGCCGGGGGGCTTCCCCCTTGGCCGAGCCCGTTGCCCGCCTCGTTCGTTGTTGAAACTGCCTTTTTTCCAGGATATCGACTTGTTTTTTCCGGGGGCGGAAGTGCTGCGTCGCCGAACCTCAACCTTCCTTTTCTTGCTCTGCCCCACAAAACAGAAACCCAGCCCACAGGCTTTGGAGTGATGTGAAAAAGTCCCAAAAAAGAAAAAAACAACAACAACAACAACGAGTGCAAACGACAGTTGTTTTGGACAAGAAGTCGGACCTCACCGGGGACGAGCCTACCTCTACTTTTGACAGGCTGTTAGTTAGGATAATGGGCCTCTGCACCACTAGTGGGATGAGGTCCACCACATGTCCCCCCCGTTGGGGACACTTGTTGTTGTTGTTGTCGTTCGCCCTTTGTATGATTGGCCTCAACACCACCGTGCCTCAGGTGGCGGCTGATGACTACACCGTCACCGTCACCAAGGTGCAGATTTCCGATTGGTGCCACCAGTACGCGCTGCCTCTGCCCTCCTCCACCACCAACAACAACAACAACCAAAAGATTTTGTACCATCTATTGTGTGTATTGTTTTTGATTGAGCCATTCGACCCGCGCTGCAGCCTGGACTGGACCGATGCTGACGAAGAGTGGGCGTGGAACTTCATCGTCGACGGGGAGAGCCGGTGCGTGACGGGCCGCACCGACAACAGCCTGCCCTGGGAGCAAGCGCTCCAGTGGGAGGCCGACTTCACGACACAGAGCTCGCAGCTCACGCTCAAGATCGACGCCTGGGAGAAAGACGCGCCCGGCGCGATGTGCGTGTGGGCCAACGGCGACTACCCGACCAAGCGCGTGCAGAGCGAGATCGTCTTCCCCCCCATGACCGCGGGCCAGGAGGCCAACTGGACCAAGTCCATGACCTTCGCCTACACGGACAACATGCGGGGATACACCTGCAGCACCACCGTCCAAGGCAACGTGGCCAAGCTGACCTCCACCACCGTGACGGTAATCGATTCGCTTTACCCCCCCCACCCACTACCACCTCCCCCCACCCCCACCCCACCCACCGCCCCACCCACCCACCCACCGCCCCACATGCGTGCCGTGCGGTCTCACCACGCGAGCTGGTGTGTCATGGTTGATGCTCTGTTTGCGGGTCGGCTGCGGATGGCGGAGCGCAGGAGGGAGAGCCGCGGATCACGGCAGCCACAATTGTCCTGGCCGGCGGCATCCCGCGGCTGCGCATCTCCGGCAAGGAGCTCAACCCGGACCCGCAGGAGTCGCCCGTGGTGCAGGTCACCGCCGACGGCGGTGGTGGGAGCACCACTGGCTGCATCTCCAGCTCCATCGTCGCCTCCGGTAGACTACGCACGACACGACACGACACGACACGACCAACGACACGACACGACACGACACGACCAACGACACGACACGACACGACACGACACGACACGACACGACACGACCAACGACACGACACGACACGACACGACACGACACAACACGACACGACACGACACACACGGGTCCGCGCATCTGATCAATACACCACGCCACAGCCGTGCAGATCACGTGTGACCTGGTCAAGCCCGAATCGGCCGTGGTGAGCTCGCTCGACCTGCAGGTGCAGGTGCAGACGCGCTTCGGCCTCTCGCGCATCGCCACGGCGGCCTTCGCCCAGTGCGGACAGGAGTGCCAGAACGGTGGCGAGTGCTGGTGGTCGAAGGACATCGCCGACGTCGAGTGCGTGTGCCCCGAGCTCTACTACGGCGACTGGTGCCAAAACGGTTCATTGCTCCTCTGCGCCCCTTGCCGCCGCACTTACCCACCTCCCTCGTTCAACCCACCCGTCCGTCCCAGCTCCTGTCTTGCTGTCTCTCCTCGTGTGTGGCGAGTTCTTCTTCCCAAGTACCGACCTGTGTGTGTGTCGTCGTGTGTGTCGTCGTGCGTGTCGTCGTGTGCAGAGTATTCGAAGGATGAGCCGATTCTGCTGTCGACAGCGCCCTTGGGCGGCGACTACACGCTGGAGACCGAGACAGTGATCGCTCTCGAGGGTCGCGTGATCCCCGAACTCACTCTGGCGATGTCGGCCCGCTGTCAGGTGTCGCGCGGCATGCCGGGCCAAATCACGTACGTTTGTTTGATGCTACGGCGACCCACACCACGACCACCACGACCACCACGACCACCACGCACCACCACGCACCACCACGCACCACCACGCACCACCACGCACCACGCACCACGCACCACCACACACCACTAACACGCACCAACATCACCACATCAACACATCGATACACACACACAGGGTGGGGGACTACCGTATGATTCAGAAAGATGACGTCGTGTGGGAGGGTCCCGTGGTGCCTACTGGCGGCCGATTTGTGGCCCAGTCGGACTCGCTCACCATCGGCGGCCTGTGCGTCATGCCGCCCGGCCATTTGGCGGCCTACATGCGCAGCAAGGATCCCGACGGCACGCTGTCGCACCTGAAGGTGGCCGTGGTGTGGGCGGCAGCAGCCAACGGGAGCAGCCTGCGGCGGGAGTCCAAGGCCAAGGGCACCTTCATGCTCTACGGGCCGCTCGACATGGCGAGCTCGATGGTGAGGGCCGTGGGCAACGAGGCCGACGGGGGCGAGATGCGGGTGCTGCGCGAGCAGAGCGTGCGGGTGAGCCTGCTCGACAAGAAGGGGCGCAACCGGGTGGGCGGCGAGGACGCCGACCTGTTCTTCCTCGACTTTTCCTCCGGCCCTTCGCTCCAGCCCCAGGTCTGTTGTTCTCCCTCTCTTCTCTGCTCTCTCTCTCTGTGTGTGTGTGTGTGTGTGCCGTGTGTGTGTGTCGTGTGTGTGTGTGCCGTGTGTGTGTGTGTGTGTGTGTGTGCCGTGTGTGTGTGTGTGTGTGTGGGGCATATGTTGTGTGACGTCCGAACCAACGTGACGACGCAAAACTGTCAGGCGGGCGTGGACGGAGGCGTGGCCAAGCAGTTCCGCTATGCGGGGTGCCGCAAGAACGAGGACGACCCGTCGTGCGCCTACTACGAGTTCACCATGACGTTCCTGTTTTCCGGCACCTACCGGGCCACCGTGCTGGCCTTGGCCAGCGGGGACAGCCGGCTGGTGGAGCTCAACAAGCAGGAGCTGATGTTCGATGTGCAGGGTATGGGCGACTTGGCGCTGCCGGTGCGGCCATGTCGGCGTCGAGCATCTCGTGGGCCGACAGCCTGCGCGACCGCGAGGCTGCGCTGCCGCTCTTCGACACGAACCTCGCCCAAACGGTGTCGCCCAACACGGGCGCGGCCGACAGGTTGGGCGTGCTCGAGGGTCTGTTCGAGCGCGTCCAGGGCAAGTGGTTCAGCCAGCGGCAGACGGTGAGCGTGGCCTTCGAGAGCGGGCCGTCGGAGGTGTCCATGGGCTCGGTGCACACGGTGCTCGCCCAGGGCATCGACGACCCCTTCTTCTGCGACACCCACACCGACCAGCTCAAGGCCGGTACACATCACCCATACACACGACAAGACGCGGCAGTTGTGGTGACCACTGCGGTGGTGGTGGGGCGATCGCAGGGGTGATGACAAGGTCGCTCAAGCCGTGGCGAAAGGTGGGCAACGTGCCGCGCCAGTTCGCCCTCTCGAGCGTGAGCGTGGGCGAGGCCGAGTGCGTGAGCTCGGTGAGCGTCAACGTGGTGCTGGTGCACAACGCGCCCGACGACGTCCGCATCACGCTCACGCGCGTGGGCAAGCAGAGCGCAGCGCCTCGGGCCACCAACATCAGCACCACCATCGTCCTCAAGGACTTTGGCAGTACGCGCACCCCACCCACCACACCTTTTTCTTCATTTTCACTTTCTTTTCTTTTCTGCTTTGTTGTGAAATCTGTGGCGCTGTTGTTTGAGCTTTTGTTGTTTGTTAATATATATACGTATATATATCTTTATTCAATGCGTATGCATATATTATATGAATATACGCAGCCGCCACCATGCCCCAGGAAATCACGTTCAGAACGGTGCCGGGGCTGAGCGCGTTGGCGGGCCGGCCTGTGCGGGCCGACTGGGTGCTCGACGTCCAACAGCGAGCGGGCTCCACGGGCAAGGGTTTCGTGCGCGACTGGGGGCTCAACGTTGCCTCTGACAACTGCCTCAATCTTGAAGGTATTCACACCTCACAGCCCCCCCTCTCAGCCGCCATCACCACGCCTGTAAATCTTTTAACCCGGGTGGTGGTGGTGGTGGTGGGGTGGTGGTCGTGGTGGTGGTGGTCGTGGTGGTGGTGGCAATCATTGTGACGGTGCAGGCGGCCCTGCGATCTGCGGCTTCGGTCCAGGGCAGCTGTTCGCGCGCGGCGCCACCGACGACGACGACGTGCACCTGGAGTGCCCCGCCGGCGGCATCATCACCGAGATCGTGTGGGCGCGCTACGGCCGCATCGAGGGCT